TTTTTTTTTTTTTTTTTTTGGACAGGTTTTTGCTATAGGGCACGTGCGCTCACCAGAAAGACAGAGAGAGACAGGGAGACAGAAAGCGAGAAATCACCCCCCAGGGGAGATGGCCATGCCGCAATCCCTTCTCCTCCATTCTCCTCTCAGGATCTTGAGCACACACATGCACCTGGTGTTGAGTTTAAGCCACCAGGTCTGGGACTCAAACCGTGGTTGACTGCATGGGAGTCCAGCGACATAGCCATTACGCTAAGTGCTGGTCCCTCAGCTCACTATTCTTTAGCCCAGGTTCTCACTAGGTGTCACTTGACCTTCTTCACTGATTTTCTGACTCCAACATTGCCCCTCTCAATTTTGCTTTCCACACAACTGCAAAAGTGACTGATTTAAAATAGCCAGCTGGCTGCTTCATCTCTAAGGTAGGTTGAATCATTGCTCATAATTCTTCACAGCCTCCCTGTGTAATTCACACCATTCTTCACCAGGCGACCTCATAGTACCTCCCCCAGAGAGGAGAGAGCTTATCTTCTCTCCCTGTGGCAGAATGCTTAGTCATATGACTTGTTCTCTAATAGAATGTGGGTGCACCTGTTTTAGCTGTTCTGTAGCTAACAACTGAATACCACACTGGGCAATTTGTAAATAATAGAGGTTTATTTAGCTAATAGTTTGAAGGGCCAAGATCAGGGAGCCACATCTGGCAGGAGTCTTCTTGCCAGAAGAGACGTTCTGCAGAGCCCTGACATGGTGCAGGCATTACATGACAAGACAGAGCAGGGGTAGAGTATGTGTGTCCTTGTATCTGTTCCCAGGCGTCAATTATAAGGCCCCATCCTGACGACCTCATACAATTCCAGCCACCTCCCAAACACTGCACCTTTCAACCCCTTAGGATTTCAACACTATAAAGTTTCAACCGCTTCATCTCATCACAACCAAACCTAACATGTGAATTTTAGGAAGACACATTCAAACCATGGCAGCACCTGACAGTGTATCCATTCTCTGATGAGGTCTCAAATGACATCGGTCTGTTCACTCACTCCCCTGTACTTCCAGACTTCATCAAGAGGTAAGCCAATCTTGGAGACTTCTGCTCCTTAGTCTGAGCCCCACACTCAGCCACCCTAGCCAATCTGAAGACCTGCAGCCTGAAGCCAGTGTTACAAGCTCACAGATCTATGTGTGAAGATACATTGATGGTGTTTAAGCTGCTGAATTTTAGGAAGATTTATTGTGCAACATTATTATTGCAGTAGTTCACAGATTCAACTCCCCTACCTGAGTCCCTCCTTGGCATCTTAGCACCTCTCCATGGAACAAAGTCATATTTCTTTCTTCCTTTTTTTAGAGAGATTTTTGCAATAGGACACATGCATTCTCCAGAGAGACAGAGAGAGACATAGACAGAAAGTGAGAAATCCCCAGGGGGGATGGCCATGCTGCACTATTTTCTTATCCATTCTCCTCTTGGGATCGTGGGCATGCATGCATGCACGTGCACGCACACACACACACACACACACACACACACAAACAAACGCACATATGCCCAGCATGAGTTTTAAGCTGCTAGGTCTGGGACTCAAACCATG